GGTGGGCCGCATGTGGCCCGTGGGCTGTAGTTTGAGGACACCTGTGCTACACCATTGTTTCACAAAGTATGACTGATGAACTGCCTGTCAGATTTAACCAAGGTAGCTGTTTAAAAAATAAAGTTTCTGATCATTATTCGAAGTGAAGTTTGAGAACCATGGTTTTTCACCGCTATTCAGTGAGTTATGTAAGTTGAAGGAAATCAGAACCATATTAAAAGTCACGGAGTTCGCCCATTATAATTACCATTTTTTTTAAAGCTGTTGTCAGTTGTTGATGGTGCAAGTCACATAACCTGCTGCACGTCCACACTTACACTTGCATTGTTTTAGCCTAAGGGATTGGCTCTCTGGATACGAGAGGAACCACCCTGTGCTAGAAATGAATGCAGTGATCGGAGAGAACAGTTATAACATTTGTCATGCTGGGTTAGGAGAGGTTTCCTTGGCGTATATGTTTTTGGAGCTATTTTTGGAGCACGTATGAACAAAGGTGTCGGGGGAAACTGGCCTAGTATAAATTTTTCATATTTCACAAATAAATGAAAATATAAATCTCAAACTGGTCTGAATGGAGGCCGGCAGTAGAGCCAGCACGTTCCCGTTGGTTGGTAAGGGAGGTGTTTCCCTTTTCTTAGGGGCACCAAGGAGCCGTGTGCTGCCCACGCTGCCCCTGTCCTATGCTGACCTCCTGTCAGCTCAGTGCTGGGACATCTCCAGGCTTTGGGGCTGTGTCACCACTGCCGCCTGCTTGTTGCTTCCCACCTGCCTCTTCTGGAACTGTTCACTCATCCATCCTCTGACATCCATCTTCAGCCCTTTGACATTTTTTAAAACCTATTTCATGGGTAAATCTCACTCGGTTCCGTGGCTTTAACTGTTCGTGCAAAGTAATCAGAGGATCTCTCACAACCCCACATCACCCACGCCTTGAAAACTTGCCTGAAATCCACGTTTCTTACTGTGGTTTACAGAGTCCTCCCGGGCCTTGACCCTGACTTTAATCTTTGCTTCCTTCATGCTTGTCTCTGTTTATCACATAAGCCGTATGAGCTGACTCTTATCCCATGAACACAGCGCTGGGTGCTGCCCTTCTACGTGGAACATATTTTTCCCAAAGCCATTACGTGGCTGTCAGCAGAGTGGGCTCTTACTACAGTGGTCGATGAGTCACTCAGGGGAAGTGTGTTTATGTTCAGAGATTTTTGACCAACCAAACTAAAATAGCCTCTACCCTACACACATACACTGAGTCATTATATTTATTTATTTTTTTAAGAGGTTGGATCTTGCTCTGTGGCCCAGGCTGAAGTGCAGTGGCACAATTGAGGTCACTATAACCTCGTGCTGCCCGTATCCCTCTCCTGCCTCAGCCTCCTAAGTACTTGCTTCTACACACGCCTGGCTAACTTCTAATTTTTCTTGTAGAGAGACAGAATCTCACTATGTTGCCCAGGCTGGTATCAGTCTTTTTGGGGGAAATTCCTGTTAGGTTTATATGTTTAGTGATTACCTTCCCTCTGGAATGTGGTCCTCACTGTACACAGAACAGTGCCGGGAACATAGTAGATACCAAATAGATGTTGGTCGATTGGCAGTTGACAGATGTAGATATTCTAATGTCGGATAGTGTGACCGAGTGTCCTCCAGCGGCAGCAGGGGCTGTGTTTACAGTTCAGGTGCAAGAGCCAGGCATCAGACTGGGGATTTGCGGTATCAAGATGTATTCATGAACTTACCTTTGTAGGTAGGTGGACTTTCTGCTAAAGAATATCCCTAAAGGAGCAATCAGCTTTAGCTTTTTGTTTCGGTTGTAGTTGATCAAAGATGCTCTTGTTTATCTCATTTTTACTATATCTGCTAAAGCTCCATGACAAGTGCCCTGGGTAGAGTGCTGTGGCGTCATAGCTCACAGCAACCTCAGACTCTTGGGCTCAAGTGATTCTCTTGCCTCAGCCAGTAGCTGGGACTACAGGTGCCTGCCACAACACCTGGCTACTTTTCTAATTTTATTTTTTTCATTTGTTTTTTATTTATTTATTTATTTATTTATTTTTTGAGACCAAGCCTCAAAGCTGTCCCCCTGGGTAGAGTGCCATGGCCTTAGCCTCCCAAGTAGCTGGAACCACAGGCGCCCGCCACAACGCCCAGCTGTTTTTTGGTTGCAGCCATTATTGTTGTTTGGCGGGCTGGGCTGGATTTGAACCCACCACCTTAGGTGTATGTGGCT